CCAGAAAAAGTGCATTTTTGATTTTCAAAAAACGAAACATTCATGTCTATATAATCCACGCACTAGTTCAGCTAGATGACGTTTTCTTCTTTCTATGCATACTATAGAGACACAGATATAAAGCAAGGAATAGAGACAAGAACAAATTTTATCGTTTTATCCAAAAGAAAGATTCCCTTCACTATGAAATTAACGGTTATTCTGGCAACTTCCCAGATTAAAAAGTTGACAAATTTGAAGGTATCCTTCTCCAGTTTTTTCTGCCAGTTTGAATTACACAAGTTGTACTCTATGCTAAGCTATTTTTTGGAAAAAGGTCTCTTTTAGTTTTTAAGATATAGAAATCTCAATATCACAGACTAACGTTAGTAGAATGTATGAATTTCACTTTAATTTTAGAAATTGCACGAATTTGGAATGACCAACATAACTTTCTTGATCACTTTTCGGAATATCATAGTCAGAGAAACCCGAGTTCTACATTTATCTTTTCCAGTGAAATCACTAAAATTAAATGAAACGGATCCATTTTACTAACTTTTATCTATGCTATTGACAGCTCTATTTCTTAAAAACTAAAAGAAACCTTTTTCTGAAAAATTTGGCAAATATATTACAATTTGTGTACTTCAAATTAGTATAAGAAGTGGACAGGTCCTCTCTAATTATTCCAGGTTTAATTAGCAAAGTGAGCAGAATGCAGAATGAATTTAGAGCTAGGGCGCATTCGATAATTCAGTCTTTTGCTTACTTTGTTCGTTAAAGAGAAAACGTGTTGTGTACTCATATACGAAAAAAGAATTAGAATTAAGAATTGTATGATTGAACAGAATAAAAAACATGGCTGTTTTCCTGTGAGAATTATTTATAGCCGAATAGATAAAAATGTATACAGATCATGTCAAGTCTACAAATTACAAAATATTATATACAGCATATGCACACTAAATGTAATTTGTTAATTTATAAGAAAATGTGCTCGCTATAAGACAAGTATAACGATTATATTATCATATAAAATTCCGAGAAAACTTTTCTCAAATAGATCAGTCTCTTATAAGTGATCACTTTTACGTCCAGTCTCGATAAATGAAACTTTAAGACACTTATAATTCGGAACAGAGATAAATTTCTCAGAAAAAGGTTTCTTTTAGCTTTTAAGAAATAGAGCTGTCAATAGCATAGATAAAAGTTAGTAAAACGGATCCGTTTCATTTAATTTTAGTGATTTCACTGGAAAAGATAAATGTAGAACTTGAGTTTCTCTGACTATGATGTTCCGAAAAGTGATCAAAATTTAATATTTAGCTCAAAAGATAGAGAATTTAATTCTCTAAGAAACTGCCGATTTTCAATTATTTCGAAATTTCAGCAGAATATTCACGATATTCAAATATTCTAATTTTCTAAAACGGTACAGAATAAGCTTAACTTGTTTAGCAAAACGTTGCTGATCTTTCAATTCAACTTATAGATAATTATTTTAACGTCAAAAGATGCAGAATTTTACGTTGTACAATCGGACACTATTTGTGTTAAATGATTATTCTTTTTTGCGAGAAGGAAAGCCCTAAATTGACTGACTTACGTAGAAAATCTATATTATCGGCATTTTGCCCTCAAACTCAAAATTTTTTTTTGATTAATAAATCTTTTTAGTCGGATACGCTAAGAAGAACTTCAGTTAGGTAGGTGATCAATTTTCATAACGTAACGTTTTAGTATTTTTATTTCCACAGTGACGATTCAAAAATAATTTCAAAATAAAATCGACAGTTTCCTCGATAATTAAATTCTCTGTCTTCTGAGCTAAATATTAAATTCTTAATATAAATTTTAATATACAAATCGTTTAGTCAATATATATAAAAATTTAATAGAAAAATGGCTTCAGGACTACTGAACCACCCCCGCAATCATTTTCATGGATGAAGGAATGTATCGGTCTGTCTCGAAGATGAAAGACAAGCATGACTTTGATAATATATATTTGATTGGGGGTGACTTTCACGCCTTGAAAAATTATATGGTGATGGGGGATCGGGAATACGAGAATTGCTCGGTATGATCTTTCAAGGCGCGACACTCCGATCAATCATTGATGTAACCAACTTTAATAAATCAATTCGAGCTGTCAAAACTTCTTTATACAGCAATAGGCATCAATTGTATGAATGAATTTTTGTCGCACAAGGATTTAGATCCATCTCTTCAGTCGATATTGAGCACAATACCGACCTTCTTCACCACCGATGAACATAAACAACAATGGTTTTCAAACTTAAAATCTAAAATAGAAGAGATAGATTTTGAAACATAATTCAGTAGCTATTGCGAAGAAAAATCAACACAAATTTCAAGTTTTAAATTTTGTAAGTGAGGCAGAAAAAAGAATCCGGCAAAAAAATCGATAATGCATATTTTATACTTTTTCAGGGTAGTGGGTATTGAGAGTCTTATTGGAACCATGTATTATCCTGTTGATTGTCGTGCGGAGTGGCTATTACATGGCCAGAAACTCTTCATGGAGTCGAATGGTGTCACTATTTTTTGTTCATAATAGACGAAAATAAGCAAAAGTCGGGGCAAGAAATCTAGCCGATCTTCAAAGAATGCCGCAACAACTCTCTCGTCGTCTGGAAAAATCGTTTGTCATGAAACGTACTGATCGTACGTTTTTCAGTATTCCGGTTGATCAAGCGTTAGAATGCAGTGTCAATCGATTAGGTATGAGGTACTACAGAAGACTATATAAGAGCCCGTGCAATGAAAGGGTATTTGCTCTAGGTAAAGGCAAGAACGGCGTGTCCGGGAAATTCAGTAGTCCGGGAATAGAGAGTTTTTGTCAAACACTAATATTCCGGACAATGATCTATTCCGCCATTAATGACATCGTCGAAATCGAGACCGATGACAACGACAGTCACATCACATGTCAACAAAATAGACTGGAACTGGATATGCGTGATTTACAAGTAATAGTGACAACGTTAAATGAAGAAAAGCTATTTCGCGATCATAAACAAAATTTAACGCAGCTGTTATCTGCGAAGATAATTCATGAGGCAATTGTAGATGATATTTGTTCAAGTTTCGATCGTGGTGAGCTGGAACTGAAAAAATTCATTAAAGAGCGATTAATTGACAGATCAGTTGATATCGATGCCAAAATGCAAACGATGAAAACGTTGAAGTTGATTGATACAGACACTTACGGACTCAATAAACCAAAAGCGCAAAAGAAAGTAGGTGTTCACTAATTGCATTCTATCCACTGTATCTCGAAGTGGTAATCGTGGTTTAACCAAGATAACTACCTAAACTATGTGATAATATCATGTAGTTTTTAAATATTGTAGACCCTTCAATATCTGGAATCGAAATTGCGCGATATTGTGGTGCTGAACACACAAAATCCCGAAATACGAGTCGTCGAATTTTTAGAACACGAATTCTCTCCCGTACCGGCTTCGTTATCTGATTCCTTCAACCTATTAAATCAGTCAAACAAAAGCAAAGTCGTTGAGTATTTCCAGCAAAATTTTTCAAACAGTTTTGGCCTGTCCCTGTTAAACGATCAGTTCTCGAAATCTGCACTGTTCATTATTACGATTTAGAGCCAACAAACGAACAAAATAAATGACTGCTGCTGTACAAAAATTAATTTTTATCTACACTGTTAATTGATGGAGGAATTTTATTGCAACATCCCCCGACAAAAATGACACCGTTTCTTCCTACGCCGTCGATTTGTTCAATATAATTATGAGAACATCAACACAGCACGAAAGAGTCGACATTCTTTTTGACTCACAAGAAAGTAGAGGTCAGTGAATTATTTCACCGGTATGTTAGATTTTAAATACCGCCATTACATTTAGAAACAAAATCATTTATTCGACGTTATGCCAGTCGAAAGAAAAACACGTATCATTTAGAACCAACATCAAGACTAGAATATAAAAAACAAGAATACAACACCTTCATTAAAGAAAATCGAGCAGCATTAGTCGTGTGTGTTCGCAATGTCTGGCTACAACAGTTTTGTTTGGTGCCTCAAAATAAATTGGTTTACGTTGCCGGTCCGAATAACAAGTGTTATCGATTAACATCACAAGGATGTCAAGAAGATATGTTACTTGAATCCAATCACATCGAAGTTGACACTCGATTATTTGTTCACATGAAAAATATTGACGAGTTTTGCTGCTACAACACAGCGGTTATTCAGTCATGTGACACAGACATCTTAATTCTCGCGATCTCCTACAGTAGCAACTTTGAAAATTTGTCCATACTCATTGATCGAACAACTCTTGCCAATCGTCGTCAGCAACAAAAAGAACAATATGTCAATTGTTCCGAAGTTGCTGAGGTATGATTTTGGCATTACCAAGTGAGAGAACACCACCGTTTCTGTAGATGACAGCTATCTACCAAAAAAAGAATCGTATAACTAGATCTAATCTATTTGTGGGTTGTAGCTGAGAAAGAAATTAGATACATGCAATAAGAATGGAACTATAGACAATTTATCCGGAATCATTTCTTTTTGCAGAAGATAGCGTAGTATTCAAATCCAACAATTCTCTTGGCTCTTCATGCACTTTCCAGCTGTGATACCACCAGTTATATTAAAAACATATCCAAGAAGACAATTATACAAAAATATTTTGCCAACAAAATACCCGTACTGTTTCACTGCAGGGTGAAGAGAGCAGAATTAAATGATTTTATAAGTTACAGAAAGAAAAAATGATGGTTTGGCAATACGTTTACACACTTTTATAACAGAACACAAAAATAAAAAGCTCACTGCATTCTAATGCTACCGTCCGTTTTCATTCAAACGATTATTCTTTGCTCCTTTATATGTATTCTCCTCCTCCCGAGGAACAAGTTCATCACATATATAAATACGTGAAGAGAGAATAAGAGTATTATTTTATTCCGGTAAAATTTTGGAAAGCGCTGTACATTTGGAAACAAAGTCTGTTCAGTTATTGTTTTACAGGTACGAGTTGTTGTGGTCGTTTTGTTTGTATTAAATGTGGTTGAAAGGTGTTGCGAGTACTATGACATGGTGCAGTTCGATTGGTGTCAATGGTACAATGATTAAGACAAATGAGATAACGTAAATATTTTTTGATTAATTGTTTGAACTGTTTCCGAAGTGATGGAGAAACTGTCATGTAGATATAAAAATTGAATGCATAACCTATATAGCTAAGAACTCCAGTGATGGTGAGACCAACACTTTCTTGTGCTTGTCGAAGAGTACTTTTCGGCGTATACATGGTCAATAAAGTGTAAATTGTCTGCGTTGTATATGCAATCATGCCAAATAGAACAAACAAAGCTTGAGCACCGACCATTCGTGTTAATTGTTGTTGAATTTGTGTACGCATTTGTTCTTGATGTAGATAATTAATATTCGCATATGCTAAGACAGCAAAGACAATCATGATAAAAGTAGGAATGATACCAAGCAGAAATGGTGTAACAAAGTATGCTATGTAGCTTCGATAGACTAGACTATCAGAAAGTGAACATGAAGTGATATTAGTAGTCTTGGAAATGTTAATCTGATTATAGATGATCAAGGGTAAACTGTGTAAAAACGAAAAGAAAAATGTAAGTAAGACTAAATGACGAGCTATCTTCACTGTGGAAAACTGACGAAGACGAACATGTCTTGATGTTGATAGGTATTGATCGATCATCGCCCAAGTAGTACAAAATAGGGAAGTAAGAGAGGACACGTGTCCAAAATATTGACGTAGTTTGCACCACACTAATGATGTTGATGATGGATCCAAATTAAAGTTCGGCAGAATAATACGAGAGAGAAAGGAAGTATTAAATAATACTAAATTACCGATGGATGCTACTAGAAGATAAGTAGATGATGGATTCTTTTGTAATCGTTTCATCGAAAGAAACATCAGTAGACATAAAACGTTACTGAAAAGACCAGAAACATAGAAGAACGAAGCAACGTATAGATTTATTTGTTTGCTAATGTAATTCAAATAGACGGTACTCGTCGACGACATCTTCGATTATTCCTTCAATTTTCGACAGAAGTGAATATAGAAAACTGAACGTATACTGTTTGTCTATGTTTTATTAAATAATGAAAATGAGAAAGATGGAAACTCGTTTACTCGATATTATTCAGTAGAAAACAGCAAGAGTCATTGACGTCGTTCTTGTTCAAAATGAGTTAATTAGTTTCATCGCAAGAAAGTCACACGAAATATAATGAGACACAATGTGTGTTCGTACCGTTTTCTGCACGTCTCTACATCTTATTAACATCGATTATGAATATAGCAAGTAATGTAATCTACTTACTGACCTATAAATAAAAAATTTCAGTACAATTTTATGAAATGCATGACCGAACGAATAAACAGGTGAGCGTGTTTTACTATTGTCACACCTTCACGTCCTCACGCTCATCCTGGAACATTGAATACAAAATGCTAACCAAATTATTCGAAAGTTAACAGAAAACAATTATATCAATAATTTTAAAAAAAAGTCTGTTATTTAAATGTATATGTAGAGACAGTTTTTATCATCATTCTACTAAATAATTCCAAAATTGCAAAGCACCAAAATCAATAAAAGAATGGCACTTACAAGTTATATTTTCTCATTTTTCTTGTTTCTTATTGATAATGTTCTCAATAAAGTATTACAAAGAACGAAAACATCAATAAACAGACGTTGAATGGATAGTATGAGATCCTATTAGTAGATCGATGTTTACTTGTGAATACTGCAGTCATATTGAAAGAAGACTTATTTTCTGATGAATATCAACTGAGTATTGATAATGATTTCTTCTATTTTATCATATAAAGACGCTAATTATACTTCACAACTCATTTTTTCAAATACGTTCAATAAAATCTACAATTATTGATCGAAAGGAAAAACTTGAAAACAATAATTGGAAAATATTTTTCATTTGATTAAATAGATAAACATATTATGAGAATAAATGAAGAAATTTTGTCAGATTATTGTGAATAAAATAAGATATTGATCTATAAATAAAAGTGTTCATTTTATTGACCATCAGTTAATATTAAAGTAAATAAATAAATCATCGTAATATCCATTGCAAAGAGATGTTATTATGCATACATTTGATCATACAAGTAGGAAGATTCTCTGAATAGATCATTTTTTGTAAGTTAGTTTGTGAAACATATTATCGTTGGCATTGGAAATAGAAACATTCATTAAGCAGAGATGTAGAATGCTTGTAGTGATTTTCATCAAAATAGATCATACGAATATTTCTGGATCCATGTCGTTTAGACTAACTAATTGGAGATATTGCATACGATCACAGATCGATAAAAAATTGCACTTCTTCTAGTTCAATCATCCCCTCTATATTAACTGTCGTCATTTTATTAATTAATTCGTACTTGAGTACTTGAAGAAAAATCTCTTCATCTTCTTTCGACAAACAACTAAATAGCCACGTTGGCAATACAGGGTGTTTCATAAGTCTAGAGGCTTGACAAAAATCAGTTCTTATGCAAACAAAAAGTGGTCTCGAATCGAATGTTTTTATATGAGGTTGAAGTACTCGTGACGCTCTTTCAAATGGCGTATTGCGATATGATATCTTCTCTTGTGATAATAAAAATATAAGCAAGAGAATGTGATGATAAAATTTTCGGAATCGATCAGCATGAGTTTTTATTCGAAAAAAGAAAAAACGCTTCTTTACAACTACATATATTAGTTCAATTACATAAAAATATGACTTAACTATCGCGTATCTGTTCTTCACCACTTTTAGTCACTTTACCAAGTCTGCTAGAAATTTTATCAGTAATTTTTTAAGGTCCACCAGACCATTTTCCATCATAAATTGATCCTCTTTTCAATAAATAATGTATTTTATATATCAGAACATGTCGCTTCATATTTCGCGGATTGTCTGATTGTCCTAGGAAATCGGCAGTATCAGATACAGTCCAGCTAGAATTATGACGATATAATAACAACACGAGTGGTAGGAACAATTTTTCTTCTTGTGATCGAGCTGTCCGACAAAACATGATATCAGAATATGTGAAAAATGTCGAAACGAATATCAAATGAAAAAAAAATTATCAAATCAAACTGAATTAAAAAAACAAAAGTAAACGAATAATAGAAATCGACATGTACTTTTTTTATAATTTACTTATGCTGTGTTAGAAGCTACTGATGAAATGGTCCATCATACAATATAATCAATAAATGTTTTAAAGGGAAAAGGATATGAGCACAATAAAAATAAAATTTTTCGTTCTGCACACACAGTTCTTTTTTTCCTTACGCACGTGATGTGATCGTCTATTTCCTCCATTTCAATTCGATTACTCAACATGTTGAGTATCTATTTCCGAACTCAAAAATTCTGCTTTTCATTCTTATTCTTTCCGAAAAATAAGCGGCGTCGCATGCAATACACAATATTTGTTACTAATACTACTGCTTTGTTACTAGCACTATAAAATCATCGTCTTCAATATCATACACATGTGTGTTCATAAAAATGTCCCTTTTTTCTCGCTTTTCTGCACTACATTCCATTTCTAGCATGCGATATAACTTTTGCATCATAGTATACAACGGTTTTTTTGCTGCATTTGTTGAAGAAAAGTATAACCGGGACAAAAGATCATTTCCCTTCTCAACTCCTTGCATGTTGAAAGCCCCTAAATCTTCTTTCTCGTCAAACTCGTACAAGTGATTTCCAAGTATGTGAAGATACGGTGTCACATTACTTCGTAAACAAGCAGCATTGAACGTTTGAAGAAACTGAACACAAGCACTTTTCAGATTTGTTCCACGTTTCAAGGGATCAATTTTTAGAAGATCAAGTATTTCTCGAAAATCATTCACTAATTTTTTGGCATCAGCTATAGTATTTCCATCTAAAAGCTTGTCATAAGGAAAATTTTTAAAAAACAAATCCTGCAAAATGTCCCGAAAATCTTCCGTGAAGTTTAATTACCTGTTCTTTAGCGTCATATGCAAAAAAAACTCTTTTTCCGATCAGTCTCTTTGAATGTTCGTTTAAAATATCAACTTTCTTTTCCATTTGTACATCATGTTCTTTTCCATATCTTTCTCGTTTGGATGCATGATGCAATATATCGGTCA